TATGTGCATGATATCAAATGGTTGATTATGAATTGAGATTCAATTTATGTGGATGTTCGACGCATTAGATATGCTTACTCAGCTTTACCGCTGAGCGTGTAGTATGTTTTATTTGCTACACGCACGTCAATAAAATGATGTTACGTGATCCTAGAGGTAGACGGAGGCGAGATAGTCGGAATGGATGTGATGGTTTTGAATTGAAGAACATAAATAAATTATCTTTGTAGTTATGATTTGTTAAGCTTCCGCAATATTAAAAAAACTATGTACTGTTTATGATATGAAAATATTATTGTGATAAATAAAAGTGTTTGAAATGTTTTAAATTTTACGATTACCAAGTTAATACCTTAGTCTGAAAGGGGCTGCAGACCTGGACGGATTAGGGTGTTACAATTTGGTATCAGAGCAAATGGTTTTAAAACCGATCTTCGGATAAAAATTTGAATTTAAAAACAAAAAAAAATTGAGTCAATCACATCCACGACTCTCGCGTCCCTCTGCTCTAGGAAAGGTATGAGAAATTACTTGGTAAATATTTACTCTGTTACAATTCTCATTGAATAACAAGTGATTAGTACTCAAATCGTATCGAGCTTAGACTCTAGTAGAACTTTCGTACTCAGTGAAGAGACGCTGAAAAATACATGACCCTCTGATCCGTTATTAACGTACGCATCGCATCGCGACGGACAAAACTGATCTGCATCGTAAAATCGTATGAAAGTGAGACAACTCCGAAGAAATGATTTATGTTGATCAACATTTGTGAAGCCGATGTCAAAGATCCTCATGTAGACTCGAGACGATCTAATCGCTGATTCAAACACGAACGTTTAGAATCAATAAACTCTGTTATCTAAAGCATCCCATTCTGATGTCTAACTCATTAAGATGCAAATATGCGATTATATCTTAGGAATCGAAATCGTTCGTTAAGCGACAACTCCTTGCAAAACTTCGTTGAAATACCATACAAGGAATTTGACAATTATCATTAGTATACATTGGCTGATCGAACGACGTTGGTATTGACAACTCTTGATGAAGAATTCTTCAACTGAAGATTGATGATGGAAACCTTATATAGGTGAAAGCAAAGCTGATTTCTAAACCGACCGAGTTCATCTCGAATTTATGTGCGCAAACCTCTGAACCAAAAGGAGCATGAAGTCTATTCTTGTGATAAGCGAAAGAAAGATCTGAGCTGAAGAAACGTACCGAAATTATGTAACCTCTCTGATATGAACTTCCTGATATCTCATCGCCCCGAGAAATTGAAATCTTTGTCAATCTTGATCCTAGAAAGGACCAATATTCGTAACTCCGTATTGAATGTGTTTCCATCAAAACTGAAAACTCAATTATGAAGATTGCCTGACAAAGAATCATCTGATAAAGTGTTTCCTCTTTAGGAGAATACCTGTTTTGTTCATATGCGAATCAATGAAACTCTATATCAACTACTGTCAGTTGAACAACTTGTTATCCTTTACCTCGTATCATGACTTATTTGATCAGCTTAGAGAATCCATTGTATTCTCTTAAATTGACTTACGGTCAGGATACTCACAAATCCCTGTTAAGAAACTTGAAGAAACCGACGATCGAGAATTGCTATCATTCACATTGAACTGACGACTTGTTCGGTCAGATACAAAGAACCTGCTTGTTAAAAGCTATAGACAACTCAACCTTGTTGAATGAACTGATGCCTTGTTATGAAGTGATTAATGACCTAATTACTTATCATCGGAAACGTCAATGTAGTCTGATTGAATAAATAAAGTAAAGTGATGTTGACAAGACAAATCAATAAAATAATCGACTCGTTCGGATATCATTTTGACGTGAAAGATTGCGACTGTGGTGACGATATGACGTGAAACAGTGACACCAACAATGAAAGACTGAAGAATGAAGAAAATATAGTTCGCGCTGGCCATACAACGTTAAATAATAATTATGGATAATATTATTTCAACACAAGATACAACTTGGATTACATGAGGAAAGTTACAGATGCAATTCTAAGTCTAATCTCCCAAGATTTGCAAACTCATCATAACTAGCCCCAGGACCCGGGAAAGCTTTAGCAAACTCAAGTTTGTCTAAAAGCTCATCAACAAAGAAAGAAGAGATGAACAGCTTCCTCTGATTCAAAGCCATGAAGTTCTGCCTCACCGCATCATCTAAAAACTTGATTAGGTTATTGAAATAAACGTCAATGTTCAAAAAACCAATGGGTTTACTGTGTGATCAATGTGAATAAACCTTCCATAGTGTCAATCCCTCCAGGAAGTACGATGAAGGCTTCCACAATATTATTCATCTCGAAATACTTATAGTAATTGCTGGAAACGGTGTACTCTACACCGTACGTAGGTCCATAAACCTGTCATGTTGCTATATACCCTGTTATGAAACATCTGACTCTACCACCATTATTATAGATTGTTGAAGCTACAGCTCCTTGAAGGCCAATGTTGCCTCATCCGTAGGTAAGCCTGATTTTTCGCCTTACCAATTCATGTCCTAAATCAACCGCTGTAGCCATGAACCTTGGATTGCTACCAAGAGCTTGACTACCAAGTAGACCAACGAATCTTATGGTATAAGAAAGAGCTCTAGAAGTTCCTTCCATAATGTGAGAATGTGAGATACCCTTATCACAATCATGTTATATATATAGAATTGAAATTTGATCTTTGAGAAAAGGTTAATTATCCTTAGTCGAAATTTGTGCAGTAAAGATGGATTCGATTTACCTACTCATAATGACGTACTCACCAATACTACACTCTGCTGATGATATGACGTGTTGAGACTCTTGAACAGTTAGATTTGCTATCCTGAAACACATTCAAATCCGAGACGAGAAGTCAATGTAACGCCCTGAAAACTGGCCTAGTAGTTAGCCGTTATTTTAATAAAAATGAATATTTTATTTATTGACTTCAAAATATGAATGATTTGTAAAGTTGACCATTTTAATTAAAAATTAGGTTTTCGGGTAGATCACATAAAATGGTGACCAATGATATATAGTTTGTTAATTTTAAACTTTTGTGTAAACTGTGATGAGTAAAATAGAAATTTCAATTCAATATATAAATATAAAGAATTGTATAATATAATACTCCGTATTATACTTCGTTAATAACAATAAATAGAATTGGAGCTTAAACCCATTATAAATAGAAGTAGTCCCTTCGTTAGAATCATCTTCCGTTTCTCCTTCTGCTTCTTAACGGAACCGAGCACACCAGGAGTTTCGCCAGAGTTGTCGCCGGAGTTCTACAAGGATCGGCCGGAGTTTAATTTGTCGATTGAGGTGAGTGATGTATCTCTGGTTAAAATTGATTCTTAGATTAGGATTCGTTGATATATTCTCGTTCAATTGACGTTGAATTTGTGATTATGGTTATCGGATTGTGTGATTAATTGTGTTTGGATTCGAAATTAGCAATGGTTTTTGGGAAATTGGGATTGGATTGTTCCTCCTCT